GGGACAGGCTGCAAGGGGCCAGGGCCTCGCGGTCTTACCGCTTGAAAGGCCAAGCTCGACTGCACAACCTCTCCACTCTGTTGCTTGTTGATGGTACTTCCGATAACGGTTGCTACCCTTCGGGAGAGAGGAGGGGGCGGGTAACGGTAACGCGTGGGCGGGTCGGGGTGCGTCGGGGCAGGGGTACGTTGCGATCGCCACATCGTGCGTGCGAGCACCAACATGTGGGGAAGCATCCAGGACCGCCCCCCCCCACACACACGTACGATCGTTACCGCTTTCCGTGGTTTTCACCGGGCAATGACCGCTGCGCAACGCATAAACGCGGATACGAATCAGCTTGTCAGCCTCTGAACTAGCACAACAAGAGACACATCTCACAAGCTTGACGTCCGAGAGTAGCTGCCATGACAAGGTCCTTGAACCCTAACATGAGGAGACGGTGGACAACTTCGAGATTGGAACTTGTTTTTGCGCCAAACAACCCACCAAACTCACCAAACTTCGAGATTGGAGCTGAGACTTACGCCCCCGAGGCTGACGACTGTATGTCTCTCTACGATGAGTTGTCGGCTGCGGGTCCTTTTCGGGTATTTCTGGGACTGCGTGGGCGGAGAGGGGTCTCGGAGAACAGAGTCTGATCGGCCAGATCAAGCGCATCAGGGCGTCAATACGAAATAAGTGTGCCTGGGACATTGCATGGCCGTCATCGAACAGCCGTATAGCCGCATGGGACTATTTCTCTGATTTATTGTGCACAGCAGCAGTAGCCGAGCCCTCCAGCACCTGTCACCTTGCTCGAGAGCCTCGCCTCGGGTGGCTGTGGCCCGTATTCCTACTCACTGTGTGCGTTTACCTGCCTGCTGCCCGTCTCTGCTTTCATCGCGAGGTGATCGGTCGCCATGGCTTTCGGCATTGAAGCCCTTTTCGTCGTGTCTTGATGGTGCTGAGGATGGTGATTATGATGATAATCGCATCGGTGAGAACGGATCTGGTTATGGTTATGGCGGTGTCGACTATGATGACGGTTGTGATTATTGTCGCACGCGCCGCCGCATACCGATTGATGGTGGTTGTGATGGCTATGGCGATGGTGATGGCGACGACGACGACGATCATGACGGTGATGTTGAGGACAATCACGGCCTTGGTTGACCACGGCTGCAAGTCAGATTTCAACCCGACAAACACACGCATACTCGAAGCCAGCAATCATAACACGATCAGGAACACACGCAATCTGACGCTGGCATGACGTCGGACGGGTGTCAGTGGTTGATCCGACAGCAAAGGTTTATCTCTGACGTCAAGCTCTTGCCCCTCGGTTCCTCCCTCGCTCCGCTCTTCATCTCTCTCTTCCCGCTGCGGGCCCTCCTCTTGGGGGCCCTTCGGGGGCATGTCGCCGATCTAACGGCGTCGCCTCATCATATTCACCTGCTTTACGCCGGCCTCCTCCTCTCCATCTTCCACGTCATCCCGTTTTGCTCCCAATGTCATTATCATCCCTGTTGCGAAGAGCACTACGCCACTCACCGCCCGCAGGGGGAAGGAGGACGAAAGGGGAAGGAAACGAGCAAACACGCAGAAGGAAGACGAGGGATGAAGAGGACGCTGGTGCTATGACACTGGTATATTACGATGACGCTGGTGGTATGGCGATGGTCTGGTGGTGTTGTGCCACTGCGCGTGGCATCCAGATAGAACTAAAAATGGCCACAACGGTACCAACAATCATACGACGGCAACGAAGTCGATGATGGTACCACGGCGATGGTAATGATGTTGCGGGTGGCATAATATTGACGAATCGTGGGCCTCAAAGATCATATATGTTCAAATAGTCCGCTACCGAAATTCACGGTCGCCAGCGCCGGTGGCGGCGACCAACGACCAGCGAGCATGCGATTCGGCGACGGCGAACATGAAATACCAGCAGTGACGAATACCACATACGCGAACGACGACAACCGCTTTCGGTAACGACGGTCGTGAGCTTCGGTAGCGAAGCCACCTTCAGTAGCGCCACAATCAGTCTCGGCTGCGCACCACCGGCAACAAAAACGGATGCGTGCCCGAACCCGTCGACGGCTCGCTCGTTCCTGGGCGCGGCGCCGCACGAGAGGCCGCGGCCTCGCGCCGGGAGCCCGCTCTGGTATAGGCAGGCCCTCCGCGGCCGCAGCCCGAGCCCTCCGAGCACGGATGGAGTCCGCCGTCGCGGGCCCGGCCCCGGACTCGGCCTGCCTGCCGGCGCCCGACCCGGGAAGGCTGCCCCCGGCAGGAAGATGGCGGCGGGGCCACTTCTAGGACGGCCAACGACTGAATCGCTCTCCGCACCTCCCAGGTTCTCTCGTCGGCAGCAGCGCCCACGACGGCCGCAGCGGGCGGCAGCGGCTCCTCGTCGGCCACACGGGCATCTGAAAGAGCTCGATGGTCAGTGCCCCTCGGCCTGCCCGCCGCGCCCGAGGAAGACGCCGCAGTGCCGCACGCGCATGCGAGCCGCGCGATGTGAGGTTCCAGTTGCAGCGCGATCGGCTCCCATATCGCCTCGGACGGGACTAGAATTGAATTTTTTTGAAGCCACGCAGCGCGCGTTACGTGGCTGGGTGGGTGGGTTTTTGTTTAAAAAAAGAACACATCCAGGCCACCTATACGCAGTCCAGTAACTGAGCCAACTCAGGCCTTAGCACTGAGGCAGCTGAGGTCAACTCGGGCACTAACACGAGGGGCAGCGATGTCCCTGAGAACAACTAACGCAGAAGCCCTGGACAGAAACGGGCTGGGTGGGTGGGTGGGTCCGCTGGCACATAACAGAACACGTTGCAGGCACTACGAACAGCAAACCTGTGCGCCAAAAAAAGGCATTGCTGAGGCGGGGGTGGGTGAAGCGGAGGGCGTTATCTTATCTTCTGGGTGGGTGCGCTCGCGACAATGAGGCAGCCGCCAAGTTCAGCTCTGACAAAGCGTCTTGCTGGCGCGCCTGCTGTTGCACCCGGCTGAACGCTCGGAAAGAGAGCCCCCCGGGCTGGTCCATGGGGTATACTGAACACGTGAAACGCCACGTTGCGAGTGACCTTCTCCCTGTGAGTACGGGAGGGTGCATCGCCACGCTTCGCCGCCTCGGTCTCCTAGATGAGAAAAATTAAGATGGCGTCCACGCGTCGAGGAACGTCAGGATCGGTGTCCAAGCTGCAGCACCCCTCGAGCACGCCGATGCATCGCGTCGCCGCCGACAGCTCTGCCTCCACGGCCGTAGGTGCCCGCCTCCTTGCCGCCGTGCGCTGTGCCTTCGAGCGCCGCGCCGTCGGACTCGAGGATGACATTTCGCCTGGAGCCAGCAGCCCTGCCCAGGCCATCCTTGACCTCCATTGCCTCGCACCGCTCGCAGCTCTGGAACCGCACATGCCCTCGCCATCGCTCGGATGTCCATTCCCTGTGTTTTTGTCGGTTTCGTGCGTGACTTTTTCGCCAAATGATCAAGGATGCTCCTCGATGGCCCTCGCCAAAGGAAATATGCACCCTCCCGAGCGATGCCAAGTGCCTTACCTGTTTGAGCAGAAAAGGTCCGCCCGCAGTGGGCGGCTTTGAACCGAAAGGGCCACGGAGCCTGGCCCTGATATCCCCCCCTGGTCGTCAACCCCCCCGCCTGGCCGCCCCCGAGATCGGATGCTCCCCCGGGCCCGCTACAGTCGAGGCGTTGACCTAAGGAACCCTAAATAAGGAACGAGGCCCCTTTTTCCCATTAGTTCAACCTCGATTTCCGATGGAAGACCTCAGGAAAACCCGAGGCAAACTTTGAAACAATCAAGGAACACCGAACACCTCCCCAATAAAAAGGGTTCCTTCTTCAGCGCCCCGACTGTACCAGGCGAAAGCGCCCAATGTGAAAAAAAACCATGTGTCGCCCATTCTGAGGGGGTTCTTCCTTTCAGACTTGAGCAGGGACCGGCCGTCCCGGCACTCCTGAGGCCAACCACGAACATGTGCTCTGAACAAAACTATGTGTTTTGAACAAAAAAGTGTAGGGATGCCGGGCATTCCAGGCATTCCTATGTGCTTTGAACAAGAATTTGTGGCAAGACCAAGAGCGACGTCCTTAAAACATTAAGCCCAGTGTATTATAGCAGAACGTCGTCAGCCAGACATGCTCTGATAACATCTCGTTCAAACCACAAAGGGTCCTTAGAATATTCTCTGGTGGGCCGGAAGCCACGCCAGGAAGCCTTGCCTCTGCTGGAGAGATCCGACGGCGAAGAGCAACTGCAGCTGAGGTACAAGTCACGACTGGAGCCCTAGACCCCATCTTCATGCGGGTCTTTCGAACTGGATCGGTCTGCGAGGGTCCTGGGGCCAAACACCAAGCGAAACAGCCCAGCGTGAGAAAAAATGCAGAGCGCCTGAAAGGTTTCCCCTCTGAGGTACTTGAGCAAGGACCGACCGTCCAAGCATCTCTTACCACGACATGTTCTCAGAAGCGGAGAATGCCTTAATAACAAAACAAAGGTTATGATGCTGTGAAGTCAACGCTTTAAAACAAGACGGTCTCAGACAGAAAGCCTTGATGAACCTATAGGCACACGAGGACGCCTCGCCACTGCTGGAGAGATGCGGGCCCAGCTGCGTCCAAGAAGGGGGCGTCCAAGAGGGGGTCTCGCAAGCCATGGCCCGGGGCACATGCGCGGACAATTGGGGTGGGACCAGGTGACGCATTGGAACTAAGAGGAGTGGCCCTGACATCGGGGGATATACCATGATATCCACTCCCCAGTCATCAAGCCCGCGGCCAGGACATCCACCCCTTGGGGAAACCAAAAGGTACCGATATCGCCGATTGCCTGGACCTCTCCCGGGGCGCGTGCTGACCCGAATTTCGATGCGACCTTCCAGGATGCCCCAACAAGGGAAAAACGGCGGGAGAGGTGGCGGTATGGGTACCCTCCCCTCCTCTGACCCCGATCCCCCCTCTTGGAGGCCCCCGCCTCCGCGATGCGGGCCCCGCTGCGTCACAGCCGCCCGGACCGCCCGGACATCTCCACGTCCTGGGACGGCCTGGTCGGGGGAGGCGCGGCCCTGCCCTGGACCTCGCTGGGCGAATTTTCCACCACCGCTACCACGGGTCGGTTGGGGGGAGAGGGAGGATGGAGAGGACCTCCTCCTCCTCCTCCTTCTCCCTATCCTGCCTACGGTAGTGGTGGTGGAACACCGGCCCGGCAGACCTGGAAGTATCCGGCCAGCGCGAGCCCCAGGAGCCCGAGCACCACCAGCGCGATCGCGAGCTTCTTGCCGCCGCCTCCACCTGGATGGTAAGGGGGAGGGCTGGAGGAGTGGGGGGTGCAGAGTGATAAGGAGGAAGAGAAAGAGGAGGAGGAGGAGGAGGAGGAGGAGGAGGAGAAGGAGAAGGAAGAGGAGGAGGAGGAGGAGGAGGAGGAGGAGGAGGTGAAAGAGGAGGAGGAGGAGGAGAAGGAGGAGAAAGAGGAGGAGGAGAAGGAAGAGGAGGAGGAGGAGGAGGAGGAGGAGGAGGAGGAGGAGGAGGAGGAGGAGGAGGGGGAGGAGGAGGAGGAGAGGAGGAGGAGGATAGGAGAGGAGGAGGAGCAGGAGGAGGAGGAGGAGGAGGAGGAGGAGGCGGAGAAGGAGGCGGAGGCGGAGGCGGAGGAGGAGGAGGAGGAGCAAGGGAAGAGGAGGAGGAGGAGGAGGAGGAGGAGGAGGAGCAAGGGAAGAGAAGGATGAGGAAGATGATGATGAGGAGGAGGAGGAAGAGCAGGAAGGGAGGAGGAGGAGGAGGACGAGGAATAACAAGAAAACATAGAAGACTAATAAGGTGGAGGAGGACGACGACGACGATGACGACGACGACGACGGCGACCACGATGCGACTGCGGATGCGACTGCGACTACGAATAGTAAGCGACCACGACCTCTATCACGACTACGACGACGTCCTGTTGCAATCCTTATAGGGAGATGCTCACAAATCTTCGAGCGTGCAGGATCACACTCGAGGATGTATGAGCATCTCCCCATTGAACCGAACAAACCAACATGATCCAGCCGACCACCCAATAGAGGGACATGATCTCCGCCGCGACGACGACGAAGACGATTACGACTACGACTACGACTACAACCACAACTACATTTACGATTCCAGTCACGACCACAATCACGATTACAACCACGACTACAAGCACCACTATAACCACAACCAATGATCCATATGGGGATCCTCATGAGAAGATGATCATAAATACTCTCGCGTGTTGGCCCCCTCACAATGGATTATCCCAGGGAGATAAAACCCCCAAACATTATCAATCTCTCACAACAATGCAATGCAGGGAAACTACTCTCCGCCGCGACAACAACGACGACGACTACGATGACGACCACGAGAAGGAGCATGAGGAGTTGTAATTGGAGTTGGAGTGGTATTGGAGTCCCAGGAAGTAGCCCTACTAACAACGCATTGCACCCCATGGGCATTCAAACTTGACGTTCTTATTCAGCTTTACTGTACGCTTTAGGCCAAAACCCTAAACTAATGCACCTTGAATACTCTTTACGAGTCGGGGTGGGTGAGGATATACACTCGACCCCTAAACCGAACAACTTCTTATCCCCATACATCCGACAGCTAGCACAGAACCACAGCCCCAGGTCCTGGCCCAGCCTCATACAGACAAGTGGGGTGGGTCCGCCCCCCAGCGATGTGAATGGTGGCCGCCTCAAGCAAAACACGAAGGGAACCATCAAGCGGCATAAGTCGGAAACACGGAGTCTTACGCCACTCCCGAACGCGGGCAGGAAGATGACGAGGAGGAGGAGCAGGAGGAGGGGGAGGAGCAGGAGGGGCAGGAGGGGCGGAGCTTGTTCCCCGCCGAGCGATGCGGGGCGGGGGGGATTCACAACTGAAGACGCCCCTCGGTCACGACATCTCGTACTGCATCGTCTCCCGACTAGCATGGCCAGAAGGTGCCAGCCACCGAGCACACAATATACAGTCGGGGCGCTGACCTAAGGAACCCTAAATAAGGAACGAGGCCCCTTTTTCCCCTAAGTTAAACTTCGATTTCCCATGGGAAGCCTGAGGGAAACTGCAAAACAATCGAGGAACACCGAACCCCTCCCCAACGAAAAGGGTTCCTTCTTCAAGGCCCCGACTGTACGACGTCCGAGCGCGCGCGCCGCCACTGGGGGACCGACGCACATGGAATGCGAGATATGCTCCGGGGACGCACTGGCCCCGGCCAATGCAAGCCCATGTCGGGCGGGGCGCCGCAGGATCCTGCACGATCCTGCGAGGATCCTGCAGGATCCTGCACCCAAGCCCGGGTCCATGCACCCTCTGCTCTGCAGGATCCTGCAAGCGATCCGGTGGCGCTTTGGCCCGGACCCCCCTTGCATCGACCCCCGTCTCTTGAGCCCCGAATGCTGGGGTGATGCCGGATCCGGGTTAACCCGGGTTCTCCGGTGTGGGGGGAGGGGATGTGCTGGCCGAGAACTTCCCCTTTTCGCGCTGGGCAGCCCCACGTATGCCCGCGCGCGCCGGTACAGTCGGGGCCCTGAAGAAGGAACCCTTTTGGTTGGGGAGGGGCTCCGCATTCCTCGAGTGTTTCACAGCTTGCCTCAGGTTTTCCTCATGTTTTCGATCGGAAATCGAAGTTTAACTTATGGAAAAAAGGGGCCTCGTTCCTTATTTAGGGTTCCTTAGGTCAACGCCCCGATTGTACTACGCATCACCCCCCCGAGACCTGCGCGACCTGCGTCTGCCCCAGCATTTCTTACTTCGCCGAAGCTACGAAACATGCATCGAACGCCCCGCAGATCAACGAAGATTCGACAACCTTCCCCAAGATTCGACGGACACGTTGATTTCGGGGTGGATGCATTCCGCAGTCGATGCCCTATCGGGAGCGGCCAAGAGGGGGGTGTCCAAGAGGGGGGGTGCAAATCATGACCGGCGGCATGTGCGCGGCCCAGCGGGGGGGCCAGAGGCATAATGAAATAAGAAGAGGCGCCATGAAATCTGGAGAGATATCATGGCCCCCGCCATGATATCCGCCCCCCCCTGGTCATCACCCCCCTCTTTTCCGCCCCCGACCCTACTCGAAGGAGGCGTCCCAGAGGCCACGAGGGCTTCTCTGCAGCGCACCCCCTCTGGCCACCAGCGGGAACAGGGGCCCCATGGTCGGCGGCGAGCGAGGGAGGGAAATGAGAAGGAGAAGGCCTTTTCAGGAGACGGTGGGATTTCTCAGAAGCCCTCCGGCCTTCTGAGAGGTATAGTGTGCCTTCGCGGAGGGCTCAGCAAACTTCTCAGAAGGCCGAGGGACTTCTTCCTCCTCCTCTCCTCCTCCTCATCCTCCTCTTCTACTCCTCCTCTTCCTTCTCCTCCTCGTCCTCCTCCTCACCTCGCCCCCTCGCTCGCCGCCGACATCGGCAGAACAGTAAGGCCTCGTGGAGAACTCGGAACCCAGATCGGAGTCTGAAGCCGAATCGAATTGGAATCGGAAGCCATCGGAATCGAACCGAATCGGAGGAACCGAAACGAGCCCTGGCCGGGCGGGTGCCGGAGAGGTCTCCCAGAGGCTGACACTCCGCCAGAGGGTCCCGGAGAACGAGCAGGCCACGCAGCGGCGGCAGCAGCAGGAGGCCTCCCCCTGCCCCCCTGCGCCCTTGGCGCCCTGCCTGAGGCGGGACGATGAAGGTGAAGGGCCACAGGGACACACAAATCCATGGGCACGAGGACGAAGAGGGACGTAAACATGACAACTCGGAGGTCCGCAAGGATTTCTCGGATCCGCGCTGTACACCCCTGGCGGCGCCGCTGGCGCCGCCCCTGGCGCGCTCCGCGCGCCAGGGGGGGGGGGGAGGGGGAGACTGGCACACGGGGGAATCTAGGGGGCAAACAAACCTACCTCGCTTTTGACCACCCTCGCTTCCAGGAGATACCAAGCGATGCCAAACTACGGCCTGTGCTGGTCAGGCCGCTTGACGAGGAGGCGCGTGGTATGACTTGGCTTTGCCTGGAAGCCAAAGTGGGGTAGGTACTTCACGCTCTGAGAATCACCGAGCTTGCACCGCCGACACGTCGTCGATGGGTCGGCGATCGGTCCCGCGATATAGCGAATCTCGCCGCGGGCATGGGCGCGCAGCAGAGCCCCTCGGATCGAATGGACCAATCGGATCGAGGATCGACGAAGGGGCCCTGGGACACACAAATAAATACACACACATAAAACTATTCCCCACATGTTCCCATATGTTCGGGGGAATCGAAGATTAATGGTGTCTGTGTGTGTTTTTCCTCTCCTGAATCGGCATGGGTCGGATCGGCGGAAATCGGCAGCCGAGCCGGGAAACGCCGAATCGGCGTACATCGGCAGGCCAACATGCATCCAACAAAAACTCGGAACCCGGGTCGGAATCCCAAGACGAATCGGACCGGGATCGGAAGCCCTCGAGATCGAATCGAATCGCATCGGAGGAGCCGAAGCGAGTGCTGGAGCGGGCGCGCGTCGACGCATTCCCCCAGAGGCCATGCCGCCCTGACAGTCGTCGCCCCCATGGCTCTTCCGGGTCACACCTCGGCCCTCTGCCTTTGGGTCGGGCGTGTCCCCCTGCAGGGGGGATTTTTGGGCGAGAAATGAAACATGCCAAAGCAGCAAAAACAAACATAGCCAAACATGCTCAAAACATCGCCCCCAAACTATGTCTTGGCTGTTTTTGCGGGAAGACGTAAGGCTCGGGTACGGGGGACTCGGGTTGGCCGGACGGGGGCCATCATAAAAACGACGAGACCCACCTGAAATTTGACGCGGGCTCCCGCTGCAGACGTCCCGCGGACACGGGACCGCCAAAGTCCAGGGCGCGCTCGTCAACAAAAGAGGTCGGCAAACCCGAATTCCGGCATGCCCCGAATTTTGAAGATCCCTCCTGTAGAGGGACAGACCCGACTCAACTCTGCCTGCCGTGCGCGGCGGCCTGGGCACGCCAAGAGCAGCGCCCTCGGCGAGGCGCGGCCGCCCGAGAGGGCACCTTCCCGCGGGAACGCCGACGCACGGGCCCGAAAGCTTCGGGCCCGAGACTCCCAACCCCGCCCCCTGAGCCCATCGCATCCTCCTCCTCCCTCCTCCTCCTCCTCCTCCTCCCTCCTCCTCCCTCCTCCTCCTCCTCCTCCTCCCTCCTCCCTCTCCCGCCTCCTCCTCCTCATCCTCCTCCTCCTCCCTCCTCCCTCCTCCTCTTCCTCCTCCTCCCTCCTCCTTCTCCTCCTCCTCCTCCTCCTCCTGTTTGGCGGTGCCTCCCTCCTGTTTGGCGGTGCGCAGAAAAGGGGCGGAGGGAGGGGGGAGGGTTCCTGAGAAGCGCCCCTGCTTCTCAGAAGGCGCCGGCCTGACATCTATAGTCAAGGCCCGCGCCTTCTAAGGAGCAGGGGTGATTCTGGGAAGCCCTCCCCCCCTCCCCCCCACCCCCTCTGCGCGTGGCTGACCATCGCCCCTCCCCCTCCCTCCTGTGTCGGGGAGACGTAAGACTCGGGTTCGGGGGACTTGGGTTGGCCTGGCGGGACCATCATGAAAATGACGAGACCCCATCTGACGACATCTGACGCGAACTTCCGCCGCAAACGTCCCACGAAAATGGGACCGTCCAAATCCAGGCCGCGCTCGTCAGAAAACGTCGGCTAACCCGAGTCGCGGCGTACTCGAGTCTTACGTTTCCCCGACTGTGGTTACCCCTGACTGAAGTGAAGGGGCCCTGGGACACACAAACAAATATACAAATAAAAGGATTCCCCATATCTCCCATATTTTCTGGATCTCTGTCTTCCCCCCCACTTCCCATATCTTCCTATATTTTCCTGGGAATTGACGATTCATTGTGTCTGTGTTGTTCCCTCCTGACTGACTGACTCCCCCCCCTCTCTGCGCCGCCGCCGGCCTTTGCCGGCGTCCCCGCCGCCAGAGCCGCCTCCGTCCTCGGGGGCAGGGCGAGCCGACACGACTGCTGGCTCCCAACAAGCGGTCCTCGGAGCCCCGCCCCGGCGTCCCAGAGAACGCAACCTTGACCTGGCTGCGCGCAGCCGTGGCGACTGCTGTAGCTAGCGCACGAAGCCCTTAGAGAATATAGCCGAGGTGTCTCGGCCAGAAAAGGGCTCACAAAATCGTAGAACAGAATGCAAAATCGTAGAAGATGAAACCGAAGGGCTCCCCCGAAGTCCAGCTACCGCTGTTCTCCCCACTCGCCCCCCTCTGGGTCCTCCTCGTCGGCCGGCGGCGTGATCGGCGCCTCGTCGTCTCCCTCGCCGTGGTGGCCGCCGGGCCCGTCCTCGTCGGCTGGCCCGCCGTCGACTGGACCGTCCTCGTCCGGCGGCGGGTCGTTGTCGCCAGGCGGCACTCCGTCCGGGTCTTGGAGGAAGACGTCGAAGATGCTGAGCTCCCCCAGCACCTCGTCGATCATGGCGGGGATCCTCTCGAGGGTACAGAGGTGCATACACTAAAACTTTCGGAGCTGCGCGCGGCTTTTTCGGATCGCCTCCGGCCCCCTGGCGGCGCCGCCCCTGGCGCGCTCCGCGCCCCAGGGAGGAGAGGTCAGCGCCGATTTCGTGGACCTCCGAAAGTTTATGTTTATCAACCCTCGATCCTCTCGATCCTGATTCGATCCTCTGGGGGATCGATTCCTCGATTCCTCCTCTCCTGATTGAAACCTCTCTCCGAAAGTTTATGTTTATCGTTTTCCTGCCTCGATCCTCTCGGGGAGCATGCTGAAGCGGCTCCCCGTGACGTAGTTGTTGCAGCAGTTCTCAGTCAGCTCCCAGTCGCTCCAAGATTCGTCGGGGGCGCTGGGCGATTGCATGTCGTCGATCTCGTTGAAGCACTCCTGCGGGCACCCAAGCACCTGAAGGAAGTCCCGGAAGCCGGAGTTCCGCAGTCTCATGACCTCGTACGAGGAGGTTTTTGAGAGGATGGCTACCTGGGTGCCATCCTCCTGCAGGCTCTTCACCAACTTCGTGCAACTGGCTATCTCTCCCAAGTCGCCCTCGACATCATGGCAGGGCTCGAACGTTTCCTCTGGCTCGTCGCTGCTGTCAGGCTTGCTCATGCACTCCTTGGGCACTGACGATTTCTCATCTTTGTCGCACATGGCCATGTCATCTGTGATGATGATGCAGATCCTCTTCGGGGCTTTGTCGTGCTGATCGCCCAGATCTCCCAAACCTGGAAGCTCGCTAGGGTCCGCTCTTAAAAAGCGTATCCGCTGATCAACAAATTCGGCACTGGGGTGCTTCTGTTCGGGATCGACATGCTGCTCCCCGCCGTCGGCGTCTCGGCAGAGCTCGAGCGCACCTTTCAGATCGCCTTGCCCCTTGTAGGTGGACGCGTCCTGGAGCGCCTTCATCCACTCTGCCCTTTCGGTCATGCCGAATCTCTGAATACCCTCGCTTCGGAGGCAACTCATGGGAGCCTCCCACACCCTCTTGTTGGCTTTTGCGAGTCGACGCTCATCGACGCTAAATCGAAGCTAATCAAAGCTAATCGGCGCTAAATCGGCGCTATCCCATCGATGACCAGACGATAGCCGACTCTGTCCGACGCAAAAGGCGGAATTTCGAGGGCATACTAGGCTCCCATGATTAGCTACCGAACCTTGCTGTTGAACCAGCCCCAGTCTCGAGTCAGCTCATGCTTGGGCAAGTCTACCTCGCTGTCCGCCGGCGGGGGCTGGCCCCTCTTCGCCTCGTACATCGCAAGAACCTGCTGTCTCGCAGCCTTCTCGGCCCTGCCTACCTTGTCCCCCACAGCTGCGTTTATGGCTTGCGTCAGCTGCAGGGCGCTGTCACTATCATCCCGCATGCTCTCGCTGGCATCGAAAACGAGATCCAGCTTGACGTGCTGCACCACGGCTGAGCCGATTACGCCTTGAACCCCCCGCAATGTCAACCTCCCTTCCCCGCGCCATCCCGAGAGCGGGTTTGCGATTTGACAGCTCGTGCGCGACCCTTGCACACTCCAGCGTTTTCAATCTAAATCGCACTAGCCATTAGCCAAGCAACGCCCAACCAACCACGGCCAACCATACGAATACTAAACAAATGAGTGGGCCGAACAGAAAATTGCTTGTCCGATTTCACTCCGTGTGCTCAAATCAAAGCCTGCTCCCGACTAGCCCAACTCGCCCGAACACCACGCATCAACAACAGACACTGATACATGCATACGAAAGAATAGGCAATGGACGCGTAGAGCCTAAAACAACAATTCCGTACAATACGGCCAATCCCACCAGCCCCCTGGTCGTAGGTGGTCCAGCGAGGTCAGTGTTCCCTCTTCCCGAACCCTCTTCACCTTCGGAGAAGGGTTTAACCCGCGTGACAAACAAATCACAACCCACTGGTACCAACCCCAGTCGACTGGTACACGCCTCAAACGGTCTCATGCACCACTTCGACCGCGCCCTTCCGCGCAGTGCGTCGGAGACGTCGCCGATGAATCGGCAACGTCGGCGTCGACGTCGAGCCGCAGCACCGATGCGGCTCGCCGCATTGCCGATGCATCGGCGGTGCGGCGCGATCCTCCGACCCCGTCTACCTGTGGGAGGCCTGGACATGGGCACCAACACCAAGACAGAGGGCTGCCTCCACAGGGGGAAGATGCTCCTCGATTTCGGTGGTGGTGGTAATAGTTCGGCCGCCTTGGAAGCCAAACTATTACCACCATCACCGATATCGGGATCTTCTTCCCTCGGCGGCGGCACACCGCCGAAATTGGCGTTGGTGTCGACCTCTACGCCTGCGACACCTGGCCCCGTCTTCGGGCTGGACTTCGGGCCGCAACTCGAGCCTCCGGCGGCCGCTCGGGACGCTCCGGAACCCTCGGGACGCCCCTCGGCGACGCGCACCTGCTGGACAAAACGCGGGGCAGGAGAGACCTGCAAGGGCCGGCAACACCGCACGACAGCCTCGAACCTTGGACCTCCCACGGCAGCTCTGTGTCGTGCCGACCCCAGCGTGCTGCTTCCTGACACCACGGGGATCGTTCATCCTTGAACGATCGTTCGAAGCGTCCGAAGCGTCCGATCGTTCCACATCGACCGCTTCTTAGTCGCCAGCGGCGTTCAACGTGGAACGACAGCGGCGAAATCGCCGCTGGTGGACACGACGCGGACCTACACGGACCGCGTTTGGGAGGCCACAAGAAACCTTCCACAAGAAGCACAACCCTGAGAACCCAGGACGTCCATCGATTTTTGGTGTGGGAACGTTGCGCTTTCCATGGCGAAACCATCGAAACCCAAGAATACGAGGGCACCCTGGAAGCAAGCTAGGTGTTTCTTGGAGGCCCGGCCCCTGGGCCGCGGCCCCGCGGACACGGGGCATTTTTGTTGCGCGACTGCGCGGTGCGGAACGCATCTGCGCGCCCGCGCAGTCGCGGCACCGCGCCCCGGAACCCAGACCGCGAAGGTGTGGATACAGTGGAGGCCAGTTCACAAGACATCTTCCACGAGAACGCTGACCCTCAGACCGCAGGACGCCCACTGATTCTAGGGTGGGGACGTCGCGCCTTCCACGGCAGAACCATCGAAACCAACGGACACGAGGGCGCCATGGAGGCGAGCAGGGCGTCTCTTGGCACTAGCCCCCGCTGCATGGACACGCTCGCCGCTCGCGGCGAAGCCCCACGCCCGACGACCCGAAACGCGCATGCCACACCTTACCAGCCTGGAACATATCCCTGTCCCTGTGCCGGGCACCTCCTCGTCGCGATGCCAATCTCAGGGATCCCCTTATCTTTTGAGGGCGCATCCCTGAGATTGGCATCGCCTCTTGGCGTGCCAATCTTAGGGATAGGGATACGTTCGAGGCCGGTAATGGATCTGCGCTGGACCCCCTCCCTGGCGCGCGGAGCGCGCCAAGGACGGCGCCGGAGGCGCCGCCAGGGGAGCGCTCCGCGCGGACCCGAGAAATCCGCGCGGAGCGCCACAGGTTTACGCTTTATGTTCGTTCCGTTTTCCTTCCTCGAACTTCGACCCGCATCGAGCTGCTGTGGCCCCAGGGCCCAGGGCCCGAAACAGGGCGAAAACGCTCACGGTGGAGACAAAACAACATGCAACGCCCAGATCTGAGGGCGCCTCGCCCGCCGTCTTCTCGGCACGATCTTGCTGCACACATCGGGGATGGACGAACCCCCCTTTAGTAAAACGTGGTTTAGTGAAAACGACCTGAGGCCCAAACCCGGCGGGCGCGAGCTTGGAAAATAACAGCCACGGCGCCCTCTCGAGAACCGAAAACGGACAATTCACTAATCGACGTGTCACTGTTGGGGGCTCTGTCCACCCCCGAGTACAGCAGGGGCCCGACCGAAAGACACCTTCCGCAAGAAGCCCGACCCTGAGACCCCAAGGTGTCCACTGGTTTTTGGTGGGGACGTCACGCTTTCCGCTGCAAAACCGTCGAAACCCCGGGAACCCACAGAACCCTGGAGGCGAGCAAGGTGTTTCTTGACATGGGTCTCCACAATACGGAAGCAATGGGTGCAGAGACGGACAGAAATTCCTGTTCATTTTGAACCGGACTCGCTGTCTGTGTCGCCGCGGACGTTGACCATTTAAAACAGAAGCACGCCCGACTACCCAACAGCGGCCGCTGTCGATGTTGGGCGACACTTGCCGTTTGGCACCGTGCCCGCGTTGTTTGGGGGGAACAGGCTATGGGCTCATCGTGGCCTTCTAAGAAGGCGGGAGGGCTCATTGGAAGGCAGGGGCCTTCTGAGGAGCGCCCAGGGATTTCCAGAAACCTTATTAGAAGCGTCCGGGCGCTCGGAGAAGGCACCTGCCTTCTAATAAGCCAACGCGCCCTCTCAAAAGGACGCCCTGTTCGATCCGCGCGGATTTCTCGGATCGGTGCTGATCCCCCTCCCTGGGGGCCTGGGAGGGGGGGGGGCGCGACCGACTGGAGCGCCCAAGATAGCCCCAGATGGCTCCAAGAGGGCCTCTGAGAGCGCAAGATGGCATCCAAGATTGCCCCAAAAGCTCAAGATGGGTCAATATTACCTCCGATACACATCCAAAAGGCCTTAAGACGGCCCCAAGACGGTTTCAAGTACTCTTCGAGCCCTCCAAGGACCTCCCCACGATGCCCTAATCCTTTCCGCACCCACAGAAAAGTAATAATGTTGACCTTCTCGCCTTTTCACTTCCAACGGGCTTTGAAGCTTCAAGAGGGCCCCACAATGGCACAATAGAGCTCCGATGGGAGGTCCCAGAGGGCCCCAAGAGCGCCCCAAGAGCGCCACAAAATTGACCCAACACACCAATTTTGAGCCTCCGAGAGGGGGGCTGCATCCGTTACCCCCCTTTGTTCGACCAGAAAAGTTCAGACGGCCCCAAGAGACCTCCCAGACCCACCCAAAGAGCCCCAAGAGAGCTCCAAAAAGGCCCCGAAAGAGCCCCAAGAGGGCCTCAAGAGTGCCCCAAGAGGCTCCGCGAGGACCCAACGAGAGCCCCAAGATGGCTCCAAGGTGGTTGTTACACTGTACTCTTTTACTTCTCCCCGATAAAAAAAAAAGGCAACTCTCCAGGCGATTCGCTTCAGGATGGGCTAGTAGGGATACTTTTTGTTGGCGGCCCCCTGGCAAAGATCAAGAAGCGGAGCATCGAACGGGGCGCGAACCGAATATAATTAGCCGAAGAGGCGCATGCACATGCAAGGAACAAAATGACCCAAATTAAACACCGAAGCCGGCGCCGACATCCCAGCGGGCGGGGACGCCACGGCGCAGCGAGCAGCGGCAACGGTGGCACAACGTGGCCAGGTGTACTGGGACAGCGGGGAGAAGTCGCCCTGTCGGCGCCAATCTCCGGCCGAACGACACGCGGAAGCGAGGCCGAGAGGGGGACAAGAGAGCCGATGCGGACGTCAGCCGGGGCACACAGCAACAGTAAGAAAAAGAAAGGCGGCACAGAGAACGGCCTCACTCACCATGGCTCACTGGCGCAGAACTCGGCTGAAGCCCGCCCTTGCACCTGAGAGGGGGGCGACCCCGTCAGCGGACACGAGGCATCGCCACCTCCAGCCTGAAACCAGTGCGTACACAACGTATCCGACTCTCGCGGTTCGGGGGCACAACCTTGCAAGTGCTGACAAGGCTGATGCAGACTGGTCTGCTAGGGGAACGACCGTGAACTGCAGAAGGATGATCAACTCGTGCAGGGCCACTCCCTGGTGAAGCCAGACATCAGGTAACACCGGAAGTGAGGCGAGCGAACACGCCTATCTCCACCTTTCAAGAAGCCATAGCGACGTCCTTGTGGTAGCGCCATGACCGGGTCAACGTAGAACCAAGGCGATACGCAGGTGGGGGGTGGCACTGCCTGCCGCTGAGCGCCAGTGTCAACGGGGAAGGGCTGACCCCACTCCATTGCCGCATCACGACAGCGTACGCAGGCTGGCAGCCAGCCGATAACCAGTATCCACATCGTATCCGGCACACGAGGTCCGGGGGCCCAGCAGTGCGATGTCCTGGCGAGGGTTCGGGCTGTGGCTGCGCCGAGAAGGACAACCGCCTGTCCGCTGAGGGCTGAACCGCGCGATACGGGCCGCTCATACGGCGCTGACGCTCACCATGGTGCGTGGTACCACCCCCGTCCACCACAAGCCACGCTGCCCCTGCGGAAGACGGATGCGACCGGAGCTGGGGTAGGCACACCGCCGCCGGCAACCTGTCCACAGGTCCGCGTGCTAACCTGCTGGACTTGGTCGACACTGCTGCTGCTCCCTGGTCACAATATCCTCGCACGATGCTATCTCTGCCTTGATCGCGGGGGGGCGCAGCCAAGAGCCGCAGAGACTTGTGAATGAACGGAGGGGGGTGCAGCCCTATGCCGCTGGACACAGATGTTGCGCCCTGGGCATCCATGCGC